TAACAACTGATGAATTAACAAAACTTCAAGGACTTTATAAACAAATGTTAGGACCAGCTGTTGATATATATCAAAAAGATGTGGTCGATAGAGGTAAGCTATATAAGAGATAAGAGTTTTTTACATAATTCATTGAAGCACAACCTCAAATGAATGTTGAAGTATAGAGAATTCACCGGAAAAAATATGACAAGTGCTAGGCAAACATTTACACAAAATGACAGGCGCCTTAGTAATGTCACATGTTTGTCATTCATAGACTATAGCAGCTTTTAGTGATGTATGGCCGACCATCGAATAGGGGATGAAGTTATATTTTCCTTCATGAAGAAACTCTACATTTTAGTTTTGGAATATTAAACAAAATAATGTTGAAGAAATGTATTGAAAAATAGAAAGAATAAATTAATCTTCTCATAAATAGCTACAGTTCTTTTCTATTTCAATCTCATCGAGAATGTGCTAAATAGGTTTTTATGTTTACTTTAAGATTTATCGAATCATTTTTTTCGAAAAAGTGAACAAGTTCTATTAAATGTTAGCGACTATCAATGTTGCGTATCAATACCAAGAACCGAAAGTACACTACATTATATTCAATTTCTCAAACCAATAACATATGAACGACGCTTCTTTTTTGTCGAATTAGAAAATATTAGTAATATATTGAATTGTTGTTGTTTTACTGTAATTTTTCATAGAAATCTTTATGTATTTAAGGTGAACATTGTCAAGTAACTATTGGTATTGCATCATCTAAACATGCACTAAATGAACCACCTGGTCTTGTTAATGACTCAGTAGGTTATGATACATTTGCGGGAAAATTATTTTCCAATCGTAAAGATGTTGGTAATATGCGCGGACATCGATGTAGAAAAGGTGATACGATTGGCGTTGAAATTGAAGTATTTGAACAAGAAATGAGTGTTGCATTATTCAGCAAAAATTTTCGACCGATTGGTACACGTTATTTAACTCTACATGATCATTCACAATTTTTTCCAACAATAATTATTGAAAATGGTGGTGATCCTGTTGAATTATTAGTTTATTGGCAAACAAGAGTATCTGTTCCACCTCATTATAGTGTGGTTAGTTATTGTTTTTTTTTCTGAAAACAAATATTTTGATTTGTTTTAATGTAGAGAAATCCAGAAGATTGGTGTTTACCAGAAGGAACAAAAGTTGATTTGAAAGAAAAATGTTTTATTTTACCACAACATATTGATCATTCTTTATGTCTTCAAGCTCCATATAGCTTACATAAAAGTAAATTTGACTTTATTACTCTTCAATTAGTTCAATACTAAAAATAATTTGACCTTGTTTACTAATACGATACAGAAGAATTTTTCTAAAGACAGTCATAAAAGACTTTTAAAGTATAGAGATGAGAATTGAGGTTCTTGGCATCATACAGCCAGATGTATTTCGTACAAAAATGAAAGTGTTTCGTCAAATATTCATCTGAAGCCTTTTCTGAAATTCACTATAATAAATAAAGAACAATAGTCACAAACAGTATAGTATATGTTATAAAATCTTTTGATTGATAATATACATATATCGATTCATCATAATTTTAAGTATGGTCCCAAAGGAATAGTGTGGCAGTAATTTTCCACAGATGACAAGTTTCTTGCAGTAGATATTTTCTGTCGGGTAGCTTTGATAACTAACGATGAACATATTGTCGGAGCCGATTTGATTTCATAAGACTGTCGAATTATTTTTTCACCGGATATGACAGAAGCGCTAAAGCCAGTGGGCACGTTTTTTTTTTATTAAATGAGAGCTGGTCGGAAACGAGATTCAGTAATAAATAATTGATAGGATTATAATCTACTATAGAATCATAAAAAGGTTAAAAAAATTCCGGAATAGAATGACATGTTTCTAGGAGTAGTCACGCACAAAAATCAAAGGTTCTCACAAGATGTTCTCACCTTTAAAGCAATTTGACAAATAAATGGAAATACTTAAATGAAAATAGTGAATAATTTTAGAAGAAATCTGTGTGTTGAAACTAATACATTTCGTATTATTTTGACTGTAACATCATGATTGGTTTGCCTAATTTAGCACCGATCTTTTTTAACTAAGCATAATCATCAGATCAGATCGTTTTACACTATCAGGCAGATCAGAAAAAAATTCCTAAGAATATCTGTTTTTTTATTGTTGACTTCTTATTGTATATCATACTATGAAATATCAATAGGTTGATAAGACCATAAGAAGTTATTGAGTATTATAAATATCTTAGATGCTGTCAAGTTTTCGATCCTGTTGTTTTTTTTCGTAATTGCTCTTCTAGCAACAAAAATAAACATTACGACAAATCGAATTAATGAAAGTTTCAATTATCATATTTCGACAACAATTTTACGCAATAACAAGTTATTCATCTTTTCCATTGTTAAAAAAATCCTAATCTGTTTTTCTATTGATCTCAATTGAATATTTCGATTGTTCTACTTAAAATAATCAAAAATCATATTGTGACTGTTTTTTCTTGTATAAAATTGAGAAAAAAAAAACGTAATCTGTTAATTTATCAAGTGTCTTTTTCATTTTCTCCATTATAGAATATAACCATTTTGAAATTGTACTGATGGATAAATTTAACGATAGTGAACCACCACCAGGTACGTTCTCTAGTATGAAATCTTTCAATACTATTTATTGATTTTTTTAATGGCTAGCTATTGCTTTGTGTACGGCTTCACCGCTTGATCCACCGCCTATATCTCAATTTAAACAAGATTATTTACGTTTTTGGCCAACAGGAGAAGGTAATTGGAGTTGCGTTTCGATCGAAAATGAAAATATCTATTTTTGTTTTTATTTTAAGCTGCAAAATATTTAAAACAAGGTGATAAAATAGGCTGGGGAGTTCTATTTCCATCTGAAGAAGATTGTTATATTGGAAAAAATAAAGAACCATTAATAATTTGTTATCTAACTGTTAATCGTACAGTTGGGTATGTTAGAGTACTTTATCAACCTATTGGTGGTTTTTATCCCGTTGTTATAGCACCACCAAATGGTATTCTATCTTATAGAATTCTTTTTATTCTATTACTAAATATTTTTATGTATTTTTAAGTAAATCGTATAAAAATGGATTTTTCAGCAACGCGAATCTCAACACAAGACTTTACTCCAGAACAAATTAAATCAATAATAGCAGATGCTAAACAAAATATTGAAGAAGAACAACGAGCAGCTAAGAGTAAGAAAACCAAATTATTTCTTTTTTGTTTCATAAAGAAATTTTATTCTATAATTTACGTACTTTAGAATAAATAAAGTTTATTGTGAGTAAATTTATCTATTCAGTTTTCTTTCCTTATATCTACACATACATTCATGTTTCACATATCCCACATTGTTTTCGTTGTTGTTGTTTTTGTATAGAACTGTGTGCGTTATCCGCTATATGTCCATTTCTATGCAATTATTTACTTTCGCATATCTTAGTTTTTTATCTTTTGGTAGCGTTAGCGCATGCAAAATGTTTTAATCACAATAATAATTGATTAGCGTTGTGGTTTTTTTGTTCTAGGTCCTGTAGTGGTTGCTGCAAAACAGAACAGTGCAAGAACAACTAATAAAACCAAAGTTGACGATGTCGATGTTCCTTTAAATATTAATTCTACAGCTGTTTATAATCATAATTATGATCCGAATATTCCATCAACGAAATCTGCCGCGTGTATCATTCTTTGAGTATGATTTATTCTTTTTTTTGTTTTGTTCGCGTCAGATTTACGTATGAATTCCATTTTATTTCCGTTGTGACATACTGAATGAATCTCTAATTCTCACTAGCCTTTTCCTCCTTTTATCTATTATCATATAAACGAAAATATTTTTTTTTCTTCATTGTTGTGTACCTGTTCGTCTGTTTGTTCGTCGAATGAATATATACATATTGCTCATCTACTGGTTTATGGATTGAATAAAAATTATTTCAATTTAATCTTATTGACATGAAAGAATTGTCGAGATTATTTGCATTCAGGCATTTCGTACGATAAAAACTGCATTATTATATTCTGATAGAACGAAAATCATTCATGTGAAAGCCACGACTCTTGATTAGATATGACGTTGTATGAAAGAACTGTAAAATTCAATGTAGCTCAACCAAATCGACAGTTTCATTAGTCACGAATTCTTGAGCTTAATTGGGTTACATTTCAGGACAGACAAATAACATTAGGAAAAGCAACAATAATAGTCCTCAATCATCTTGTACTAAGACTTGTGAAATCATGCAAGATTTGATCCGAAGATCTTTAAAACAACAGTGCATCAACTGTATCAATGATGGAATTCGATTTACTAATTTTTTATGAGTAGATCAAACAGTTTGTCTGATTACTATTTGAAAATAAGAAATAATTCATTCTGCAGGAGATTGCGAATACAATGTTAAAGACAAAACAAGTGGAACTTCGTTTTTGTCTCTAAATATTGATCCTTCTAGATTGAAAAGAGTCATACTGTATTATGGATAGATCGAGTTTATAAGAACAATTAAATTGTTTGGCTTCAAAGACTTATAATACCAGTGTCTATGCTGATTTTAAGTGAAATACAGAAAATCGCACTGGGGCTTTAATTAAACCAGCATAAATAAGCTGTATCATGGAAATGGATTTCTTTCTGTAACAATTTGAGTCAGTATGCACTAACTGTACATCTGTTATCAGCGGCTGCTCTTCATTTTCTGAGTTTCATCAATTGGAATAAATTAGCTTTTGCTCAAGAAAAATGAGTTTTTTTTATCAAAGAAAGTAGATCTTCTATCAAAATTGATGTTCCTTGTTAAATTAACCTAGAATACGATTCAATTGATTCGTAATATTGTTGGATATAAGTAATGCGTCAACATACGTGACATAACAGAATTCAATACCAAAACAATTAGAATGCGAATTTTGCTTTGTTTTTTAACCATACAACAGAGCGACAAGAAAAACATTTCATCATATTTGTTGATAATTTGACATTAATGAATCAAAGATAAGTTCAACTGCTGATGCAATTGTCTGACATTGTGATTCATTTAACGATCGTATTTTTTCTAATCGAGTTCTTGGTAACGATATGAATGGTTCAACTGTTAAAACCGAACGTTGTTTTCGATGATTTGCTATCGCATTATTATTGATAATGTGAGAAGATTCTGAAATATAATCTGTGGATAAAACTTGTATTTGACTAATTGGTACCATAGAAAAACTATTTCGATATTTTCGACAAACAGTACAGTGTTGATTATTATTTGTAGTATTTTTTGAACACTGCTGTCGTCGTTGTCTTTTTCTTGATATAATATTTAATAACGTATGATTATTATCAGATATTAGTTTTGCATTTAATTTAGTATTGCTTCGTTTTTGTTTAATTTGTTTCATAGGAAATAAGTCTTCTTTATTTTTGTTTGCATTTTTCAAAAGAAAAAATTTATTAACGAGACGATAAATAAATGTACCAGCTTGTTTAGGTACTGCTGGTAATTGACAGGATGATACTTTATTGTTTATCGGTGAATCTTGATAAGAAAAATAAAGAGGTGAAGATTTGACGATTTTGACGGTTATCTCTGATAGAAATAAGACAACAGGATTTTACCTTCATTCATATTTATTATAGGAAAATGTGTATTAACTAAATCATTATTGGGAAATCTTCGACAATTATGAAGATTTGATTTTGTAGAATTTTGAAGCAAACTATTATGAACTGTTCCCTTCGATGCTATATTATTTCCTGATCGAGAATTTAAAACATGCTCGGAATTTATCGATGATTTAAGTTCAACTTGAGAGACAGATGTTTTCGATTCATGACGATGCAAATTTGTATCACCGACAGCTTTTGTTTCTGTGATCATTTATCAGACGAAAATTGAAAAAAAAAGATATTAATTGATGTAAAAATTCTGTTAGCGGGAACAGATAATTATCAATTGAATAACAAAACAACTCATCATTTGAACTATAGAACGAAATGAATAAGTACAGTTCTTTGAAAATATCGAATTCTATTGATTGCTAATCAAATACTAATATTTTATTTCTCGAAATGAAAGATAATGAATCATTATGGTACCAGAGATGGGCGAGTCCGAGTCGACTCGAGTCGCATTTTTTTAATGACTCAGACTTGACTCGAGTCGGAAAAAGGCTGGACTCGTCCATCTCTGTATGGTACAAATAGAGAAAAAAATGTTAGATGTTTATATTTAAAATTCTTTTGATAAAAATAAAAATATGATTATACACTAACCATTAGAATTATATCAAGGAGTATGTATGGAAATCATCGATAAAAATAGGAAAAATCGATTTGCATATGTTTAATAAAATTTTATCAAAAGACGACATCCAAATATGTTTTCAGCGGAACAACACTAGTTTATTCATTCTGACTAGTAAACATGAACTAATGGAAGAGTAATAATTTTAGAATCAGATCTATATTTCATTGATATTCAGGGTTGCCACCTCTTCCGCTTTTTCTGTTTTTCTTTCAGCTACTTTTCTCTTTTTGGACTTCATCAGGTGGCAACCCTGTTGATACTGTAGTTAGAATCCTGTTTTAAACTCAATTATGATCAAATACTTTGTATTCTATTGAAGCAGATAAGAACAATATAAAATTTTTCTAGAAGATATGAAAAACAGTTGTACCAAATGTTTATCAAGAAGCTTGAAAGAAAATTTTCGTAGATAAAACAATTTATTTGTGTCATCAATCTTATTATGAGTATCATCTGTAGAGTAGTCCACAAGTAGATAACAAAGAAAAGTCACTGGTCACTGATGTTCAATGCATAGGGAAATCAGGATGTTCATGCTATTGCATCGGCTAATGTTATATTGTCAAATTTGTACCAATAATATAACAAAATTACTAAATGTTCAATGTTAAGTAACTGTGTTTATGTATTATTATTTAACTAAATTTTGAAAAGTTTTGAAATATACAGAGCTCATGGGCATATAGTATCTGATAAACTTCTTTTCTAGAAGTTTCTGAAAGAAAATTACATTTAAGTTCTAAATCAAACTTCTATTCATGTGTACGAAGGTATTCTGATATTCAAAACAAGATATTTATCTGCTATATTTTGTTGAATTTATTTTATTGTTTATTTTTCGTCTTCTAGATAAGATAGCGAACTGATTGATATCATAAAGGCAAATAGAAAACAAGAAACATCAAAATGACTTTTTATTTTATGAGCATGAGTTTTGACTATATCCTTTATATTGCGTATTGTATTGATTTCGAGCAAAACATTCCACAGCGACTTTATCACACATACACGTTTTATATCCACATGTATTTTTATCACCAGTACATGTAACAACATTATTGTTAACATTCCATCCATAGCCAACTAAATGGGGTGAGCATAAATTCCAAAATTGAATATATGTAGAAGTATCAGCATAACATTTATCATGAGTTTGACAACAGCTATCAACTCCATCTACTGGTTTTCCTTTGCCACCAAGACCACAATGGCATCCATAACCAAGATAATCCATGGCTGAACGGCCAGTTAGTTTTGTGATCATTTCTCGAAATTCAAATGCTGCATTTCGACTCTGTGGTAATTCATCAGTTGGTATTGACGAAATACTTCCAAGAATCAGTGTAAAAACAATCAATGTATACAGCATGATTTTCTTTCCAAGAAAATACAACAATAAAAAAAATAAACTTCATTCACCATAGATTATATAGACACATATAAAATCAATGGGATTTCATAACAGGTGTTTATTATATTCATAAGAAACGCCTACGATATTGATGTTTGATAATAATTGATATGCAGTTTAACTTAACTATTATACGGTAGGAAAGAAAAGAATATTTCGATATTTTTTAAAATAAACTTTATTTGAAAGTAATGGAACAACAAAAAATAACTGGTGACACATAGCTAAATAACAAGTTTATACGAGAGATAACAATGGAAATTTCTAGTTCCTGTTGAAGAGAATTGGGCGCATTTTACAGAATTCAAGGCTCATCCACATTGCTTTGTCTTCTTGCTTAGTTTTTTTTACACAACCTTATTTATTGCTCTCTTGAAAACCTAGTCATTAAACATATGTACTATTCTTTTTTTCTGGAAAGTATGAAATTCTAGAATCAGAATCAGAAATTCTTTTTTGTACATCTCTCGTTAACACACAATTGAGAAAATTCTAATTATAGTAAAACAAACATAAAGGCAAGATTTATATAAAATGTTCTAATTGTGTTATTTTTCGCTTTCCCATGTTAATCTATTGGATTATCAACGGTACTTGTTTCTTCAAGAAGACGATCGCCTTCACCGGTAAGTATCTAAAGGACAATAAAACGAATTTCAATCACAAAATAAATATATGAAAAAAATATGCATTACTTCAAGAATCTTTTGTAAATAATCTAATGATTAGTGATTACACGAAGTTTTCGTTTTCACTACTTAAATTATCAATGAGAGAGTGTAACTAAAATAAATAAAAAGTAACTAAGAATATAGTACAAAAAGCTATTTATTTTATAATATTTACTTGTTAATTTTCAATATTTGTTTCTTGTATAGCTTGATGTCGTCGTCTAGTCATCGGTTTCCAGGAAGATTCCGATGTTTCAGCTAATATATAAATCATTTTTACAAATAATACACTATGGAAATACGCGAATAAAAAGGTAAACGAATGAAGTATATTTCAATATCCTATGTTTGATTTATCAAATTATCAAAAGTTATTCCAACTAAACGATTGGCAATTTTAAGATTAAATATTATACTTATAAAGTATCGTGAAGTAAATATTTGATAGTTTTATTTCACTATTTTCTTCAATCTATAGTTACAAGTGAATTAGAATAAGCAGCACGCGTTTCAACTACAGAATTCACATTTTTGTAAATATTTTCTTAGGAAAAAATGTCGTTATGTCAAGGTTAATAACTTATGAAACCTTCATTTTACTCTTTCTCAGAGTTTCTATGATGTCACAATAAGGTTGCTTTCGAAAATTTCAATACAACGCCGTAACCACTCGTACGGATCAGTTTCGTTTGACAATGATTTCACTCTGATAAAAAACGGCTCGATCTATCTTTATCGGATGACTAGGTAATACTCCCCAAAAGAGAGATTTCTACTTTCCCAGCAGAGCAGTAACAGCTAATATATAAAGTAAATCCTATAATCATGCTTGCTTTTTAGACGAAAGCATTAGAAAGACTTGGGATTTTACTAGCTATACAATTATTTTTTAATCTATGAAGATTGCCAGAAACGGCGAAATCTTTTTAGTAGACATGTCAACTGCTCAAAGCAAAAATTGTCATCTATTCCAATCACCAGGCTCCAAAAGTCTCAAAGACCTAAAGATACAGTGATCATATAATTTTTCTTCAGCTTTAGGAGATTCACTTGAAGTATTGCAATATATTTAACGAGAAATACTAATCTGTATCTTTTTATAGAAAAAAGAAAGTAATTTATCTATTCAAAACGAACTTTATACACTAGTTTTTTTTTACTTTGCTTTCACTGTGATCGAATTGATCCTTACAGTTCAATGTTAATAGAGAGAAAATAGAAAAAGAAGAAAAAAATCATAAATAGAGTAGAGAAAGAAAGATAAAAAAAGAACAATAACAATGAAAATAAATTAAGTCACGTAAAGAAGAGGAGATAACCAAGAACTTTTCACTAGCTCGCGGGAGAAAGAAAAAGATGCAGAAAAGAACAACCAGTGAATAATTTGTTTTCATTAACGTACGTGAACTTTATACGCTAGTTTACTGAATCATATGTACACTTTTCTTAACGCGTTGAATCGTTTTCTTCATTGGCTACTTCTACTCACATTGCAGATATGATCGAAAGACAGAGTATCTTTCAATTGATTTTCTGCTTAAACTAACAATGTATCCATTAGCTTGATCTTTCCAACAACCATTGGACTAAGACTAATAATGTCGCAACTAGATATATTAATCAATCTTTAATGATTGAAAATTTAATTTATGAAAATCAAAACATTTTAATTTTCTATGTGATACTAAAAAATATAATATTTCAACTGAAAATACCTTGTACAATACAAGCACTTGAGCAATGTCGTTAGTAACATTTTCATTATCCATCGCTCGAGTTACTTCTTCTGTATATTTTGGTGGGTTTGTTCCAATATTTCGATCACATTGAGTTTGTTCTGTATTAATTCCAGTATGTTTCTGGACATGAATGAAATTCGTCAGCGAAGTTTTCGTTATTTGACATGTCTTATTACATTGATTTTTCGATTGGAAGTAGTAGTATTTGTTTTGACGGTAACTTGTATGTCATAATTGTTACCGAAGGAACTTTTTTAACACAGTAGAAAAAGCCTATACGTATATCTTTTCGTATCTGTTGCCATAGAGGTCGTTAAAAAAAGAATTCAATTTTATTGGATAAAAAAGAGAATCTAAAATATATTTCTGTTTACTCGAATTTTTCTCTAACCATTTTATATCACAACTAGATAGAATCCAGTGCAATAAACTTGAAATCTTTTAATGAATCGTCTAAATTCAGATACTGAAATAAAAGTTAGTGCATCAATACGTTTTCTGAATGAAACAATACAATTTAATGCCAATGAACCATCATTAGCATATTATCGAATTCAAGTAAACAAATACAAGAAAAAAATTCTCATTTTTAAACTGACTTAAAAATTTTAAGGAACATGTACAAAAAAATTTGCCATCAATGGTACAAAGAAAATATGAACTTCAAAATTTACAAGAACAAATGAGTGGTCTTGTTTTTGATATTGAATATAGTGTTGATGCTGTCAAAGATTTAGCAAAAAGTACTGAACATGTTAATGTAAATCATGAGAGTTTATATTAATAAAAGTATAATTATGAATATTTCTACTTTAGAATATTCTTACACATTTAGAAAAGGCACTTTCTATTGGTAGCCAAATAAGTTTATTTCGACAGCAACATATTGAACAACAATTGTTTGAAAAGAAAGATGGACCTTTATTATCATCACTAAAAAAATAATGTTTCTTTTATTATTTATTTGATTTGCTTTTTCAATAAATTATTATGTCACGCTAGGACATCTATATACTGTTGAGATGGCGTTCTTTTGTCATCTTCTCCTCTTTGAATAATAGTTATTGGTGTTCTTGTTTTCTCTTCTGAACAGTTTAGTTAATAAAAGTGGCTATTTTCTATTTGACATGAAATATCACGTGTTTTTGATTAAGTATATTAAAAGTAGATCATAACATATTAATACTTCTTTTACTTCTTAATCTTTTAATTTATATGAATGTGTTTTATTTTAATGTAGATCTGTTATATAATTATGTCGTTCATTAGCAGTAGCACTCATGCACGTAGAGTGGGCATTATTTCTTCAACTACGATCGCCGCTATTGGTAAGAAAATATCTGATTGAAATTCCATACAATTTTCATTTTCTTTGAATAAATTAATAAATGAGAAGTTTTGGATACTTTATTTTGACATATTGATAAGATTGGTATCACTCGCTATTGCTCTAGCTTATTGTAGTTGTCTATGGTGATGTTGCCAAATTAATTTAGAATAAGAAAAAATAGTATGATTTTCTTCCGAACTATATTACCTTCAAGTATTGCACCGTGAGAATAGATTAGTCTCATAGTTGAATAGCACCGTTTATAGTTCTTTACAATCACAAAAGCAGAGTAGAAATCGTTTGTAGGATCGTTACGATCAAAGCAATCTTTGTTTACAGTTCACCATGTTTTAGTAGCTTTTGGTTTTTATCGATTTATTGGTGATAAGTTGTTAAACGTATTGCATACCTTTGGTTTCTAAGCAAGAACTATGGATTCAGAGAATTGTTAGTAGGTGTACAGAAATTAAGAGTTGATGTGTATCAAACGTTTTTAGAAGACGTAACAAAATGTTAAAACTATTTTTATTGTAAACGGATTACTTATGAAATATATAAAAAGTTTAGTCAATTAAGTGAGTCAGATTATGTTAAGAAGTCTTTTATGAATTCACGAATTGCTACCATATAAGATGTCTTCAGTTAAAGCATATGATCGGATTTTGTTCACATATAGATCATCGAAAGAAATCAAAAGTATTGAACTGGAATCGGTATTTGATAATTTAACTATTGATTTATAATTATTTTCCTACTTGAAGTTATCTCAGCAAGAATAAGTTTTTAATCGTCCCTAAAAGGGCTACTTGTACAAAATACTAAATAAACATATATGTATATTTTAAGCATGTCGATAATATTGAGGAAGATTTCAAATAAAGAAATACAACTGAAAATCGATACTCATTTTAGTTGAATAAATGCAGAATCTTGTCTCTGACGTTAGGATGATTAAGTACGAGAAACTATCGAAATAAATGAAGAAATATTGATTGCAACAAACTAATGAGACGTTTTGATGTCATTCCGAACTCAGAGCTGGGTGATAACAATTTTTAGGTTCTTCTAGCTTTTTGTCATTGCAGAGAGTTCAATCGTCTATCAAATCATGAACTAAAGTAGATCAAAATGCAATAGATATCTATCGTCTGTAGCAATATGTAAATAGCGAAGCAGTGGTGATATGTTTCAGAGAAAAAGCCGTTCTACAAATTTATCTTTCAAAATGGATTTTCTACAATTTTTGCCAAAATATCAAACATAAGAAGTTTTGTAATTCCATACCTTTCTATTCGGTTTCGTTAATAGTTTTTCTGTGAGTGATTAAATCTTAGTTTAGAATAAGCATGATATAATCTTGATTATTCTCGATTCTCTTTATTAATTTATGATTGAACGATAAGTGACTAGATACTACGTGTAAGAGATTTCTATGCGCAAGTTCTTTAGTCTAAATACTTAGCTACTTTGTTAATCGCATTTTGTTTCTGAAAAATTTACAAATGTTATATTGCTGCGAATATTTTGATGAATAGTATACAATTCTCTTCGACATATAGGATATCTTTTAAATTTTTCAAAAAAATCTAATCATTTACGAGTATTATGTATAAACTAGCTACCTCATTGATCTTAATTCAATGTTATCATAGCTACATACGAAATGCTATTGGAAAGTATAAAACTTTATTCTCCATCTTATTACTCGAATACCTATAAGAAAATAATCCTAGCCTTGAAGAAAAATATGGATTCTATAATCAATGAATAATGAAAATCTGTTGGATTGCTTATCAAATTATAAATAAGCAATTTTTCTTTTACTTTTAAGGCTTAGCTTTTATATTTTGGAAAGTATACAATCGTCGAACACAAGCCAATCGTCAAAGTCGAACACAAAATCGACCACCACTAGTCAAAACAGCTTCGGTTGATGGTTCGTTTATAATAGAAAATCATAGTTTAAGTTTGTTACATTACAAATGTTCTTGTTCTTTTTTTAATAGAATGGGAAAATGCTGTAGATACACCAACAAGAGAAAGTTTGCCAACACCTCACCAACTTTATAAATATGGCCTTGAACATCTTAACATTTCCATTGATTATTGCCAACGTGCTTTATCAATCATTGATGTTAGTTTAACGAATTCTTCGACATTAACTGATCAACCCGATATAATTCAATCCGATGAAGCAATAAATTCTAATCGTTTGATTGAATTAAAACAAAAGATACAATTTTTGTTAAATAAAATTGATGTTGATTCAAACGCAAATGAATTAGCATTAATATTCGAGCAAGAACAACAATTAAAATCAGTATCTGAATCTTTACCAGTAACAACTATTGCAAAAGATAATAATGCAATAGCATTCAAGCGAGCTGAATCAAATCGTATTCAACAAGAATTACAAACAGTATTAAGTGTTCAATCAGATCTAAGTACATTTAATGATCGCCGTTCACTTCGATCAATACGCTCGTCAGATAGTTTTGAAAGTGCTCCAGATGTATGAAAAAAAGATTTTCTTTTCTTTAGTAGATACAAAATATGTCTTCTTTCTATGTAGGAAGCCGAATGGCTTGATACATGTGATCTAATATTTGATCCATTATCACCCTATTATTCGTTACCACCTTATTATGTGTATGGACTTCGTTTAGCAGAAAAAAATCAAGTTCAATATAAAAAACTACGAACTAAATTACTTCGTTGTTCATCTGATACAGATTATTTAGCAAAATTATCATGCATAAGAAATGCTTGTGATGCAAGTTATATTATTGAATTAAAACGAGGATGAAAATTTCTAATTAAAATTATTGGTTTTTATTTAGGAAGTATTGGGAAAGGAAGAGAAAAAAGAATATCTAAAACGAGTATCCAGTGCTATTTGTGAACGTGTTCTTGAAAAAGCGTCGAAAGTAGGGGTTTTCTTCCATTTATTCCTCAAACTTTGAAGAAATACTTATGTTGATATTCAATGACATTCAAGATGTTAAATAAAAATAGAATAGTTTTCTTTCTTTTTATTACATTGATTCAGTTGAGGAATCTCTCAAAGTGGCAACTTATTCTTTGAGATGACTTAAATCTTGTTGAGGTCGATAATCTACTTGAATTATCCGAAGCAATTTATTTTGGATGAAGAATGATTTCTTGGTCTAAAGAATGATTTTATATAAGATTTTTCTGTTGTTAATAAATGGATGTAGGATATTATTGTAGAAAATGTCAACATCAAGGTCACCTGATTAAATCTAACTAAATTAGTTTAGACATCGATTGTTTTCAGCTTGCTTTCTTTCAATATCTTATTAAATTAAAGAATTGGTTGAATCGCAATTGAATTGTTTATCAAAGATATACGTATATCCTTCTATATTCTTAACGTGACCGTTCGCAGATGCTTGTTTTCTATTATGATATTGAATAAAAATAAATCTTGAAAGTGATTTTCGACTATGATTTAAAAATTCATAAGAATAGTCATAAATCAAACAGAACAATCCATGCGCACGAACTGATTAGAATTAGATTTGACATCAGTGAAGTCTATTTATATCACAGAAATTATCTTTTTACTTCGTTAGATTTCTTTTTCAGTCAAATCAAGTTACTTACAGTAATTGAATAGGCTTATTAAATTTTTTATTGATAGTAGTGATCGTACGATACTTTTCTATTTATTCTTTATTTAGAACTTTGTGTTCTATATTAAAAAAACACAGCCTGTAATGAAATACATGTTGTTCGATGGTACTATGCTAAGATTATCTTGACTTTATTTTGAAAAAATTCCAGCTGAAAGTTTTAGTATCATCTTTCTATGTTACACAGTCAACTTTGAGAACAAAATCAAATTGAATTTTTTGCAATAAACCGGCACTACTCAAATTCATTGTAAAATATTCTCGCATAATCGTGGACGTGAAATTTTTTGTATGATGATGAGAAATACTCACGCCACACAACTATTGAACAGCAGTGAAACGTCGATAGCTGTAAAAAAAAAAGAAGAGCTTTTTTCCCATGATCTGTAGATGTGGTGGTATTAGAAATATTTGCGCAATGGTTACATTTAATAGATACGTTCTGTTGGTCAATTGAAGTGCTTGTAAAAATAATTATTCTTGAGAAATAGTGAGCAAGTAAAAACTTGAGATCTTTTTTGTGCGATATTATTAGAAAAATTGAATTAGTATAACATCAGAAACCAAATAAAATACAATTACTATCATATTCATTAGGTCAAAGCAGATTATTTATTCAAATCGTACTTTCCAAATTTAGTCGCCTTTTCTTTTCATGTTCGCAATCAAATTTTGCCTCATTCTTTTTTAGATTGAATCTACATACGGATCTATTTAAGTATACAAGATTATTACTGATACGAGGAAATCATTTTTCTTCACTTATATACATATATATATATATATATATATCAGAGACCGAAACGAATGACAAAAGTACCATTCGGTTCGATTCGAGTTTTCTAGTCTCTCAAAGTTTTCATTCGATTCGATTCGATTCGACTCAAATTGGGTTTACAAAACATAGCATTCACTATTACATATTATTGTTGTTTTCAGACAGTCATCTTCTTCGAATGAGAATAGTCTGTCGATCTTCTATAGAAATATGTTGAAAAAATATAATTTATGAATATATGCATAAGAATTATTCATTTTTTTCAAGAAAGAAAATACGCAAAATATAAATTAATGAATATATCTAAGTAGACTAATTAAATAAGTTTATTTTCTATAGACCGAAGAAAATCTGCGCATTCATTTCAAAAAGGATTTTTCTCGATACGAATAAGCTCTTCAAGCACAATATATATATATAAGTTTGTCGTTGCGTTTAAGTAGTATTTGTATCGGCCGCCAGAATATAAAAATAATTAATAGTTGAAAGGAAACTATATAGTTATTATTTAAATAGAACAAATGTGTCTGGAGGACTATTTTTAAGTGCTTTTCTTGTTATTAATGTGCTTATAATTAGTAATAACCATTGTAAGAAGATTGATACTTCTTAGAAAACCAATAGTTTTGCGTAGCGAATAAAAATCTTATGCTATTTTAGGATAAAACACGCTTTTTACGAGCGTTTGATCAAATGAACGCTCTGCTCGCTGATGAACATAATTGGTCAATGATAAGTGAAGAACTTGCAACAGCAGGAGTACGATAATTTCCATTTTGTTAAGCTTCTAGTTCTCTTTTTCTTTTATATACATGTAGATTAAATCTCCAACAGTTTATAATGTTGGAATTGATTTTATGTTATTAGAAGGTTTTGAGATTTTAGGTAAGGCATTACAAAAAACCAATATCGTTTTTTTCTATATAAAATTGCGGCCTGTCACAGATTCTCCACCGTCAGCAATGCGTGCAATATTACAAAATCGCTGGTTTTCTGAAACATTTCGTGAACAAGCATTAAATAAAGCTGTTTCGTGCGCTCTTAAAGTTCGTCGAGCAACTGCTAAAGTAAAAACGAAACGAATGAAGTACATAAATAGTTTGATAGTTTCTTTGTTTTTAGTATCAAGATGGATTTCTAACAACGTTTTTAACATTAATCGAAGATATGGCACCCATTTTTGCTTGGGGAGTTCTTGGACCTGATTGTGCAGTTAAACCAATGTGCATATTTTTGAAAGTAGGAAGAACGAAAAATAAAACTAATAAGATTTTAATTGGATAAAAAAACATCATCAAATTTTTTAGAACGCAGTATTAGATTTTGCACGTTCACTGTATGATCTTCAACAAACTGACTATTCATCATTGCCTGCATTAACAAGTGATATCGATCGACAAATAAATAATCTATTGTATACTATTGTTAAAGAAATGAATATTGATCCTAGTATATTGTTGAACCATCAGTTAGTACCATCGACTGTTCATTTTCATTAAGTAGTAGTTCTCGTTTCGATCTATTCGATAGTATGAATATTCTTTGTGATATATGTATAATCTCGCTTGAAACTTATTTTGTTTTCAATTTAATTATTTTATTTTATATGTAAATAAAACAAAAGTGTTCATACATTAATAGATGCAAATTTTCTTGAAACAGATTCATTCTCTGAATGCAAGGAAGAACGAGATGAAAACTAACATTGAATAGATACATCGATCTATTCATGGTTCCATAGCGTTTAGTTTCGTTTTCTTGATTTAATTTTTATATATCATTACACGGAATACATCGACGATAATCTGACAGTTAACTTGAATCATAAAATTCACTTTCGACTAATTTTTCTCGAAACAATTTATACCAAGCTAGTGTTAATTGCGTTAATGTTAGATTATCAAGTTGAATAAATGCTTCACCAATACATTGATTTTTTTCAAATTTTCGTGCGCGCTGCCAAACAGTGACTTGTAAACGACGACCTGAGTAGATTTCATTGCAAAAATTAGATTAGAACTAAAATAATTCTATAATTACCCATAACATTACAAGCATTATATTTTAATTTTGCATGATAATCAGGATTATAACTAGTTTTTATTGTTTGTGTTTTACGTTTTTGTACACGACGTGTACCAGTACGAAGATAGCTATAGTTAAAGATATAAGATAGTGAATTCTTTATCAAAAAACAAAGATTGTGTTTGTTAGAGGAAATTTTCTTGGAATAAACGAATCTGATTAAATAGAAATTAAATCGATAGATAACCTTATTTGTTATAACAATAGAAAATTTTCAAGAGGGCCAATAAAATAATTAGATACTTGCTGGATTCTACTCAAATAGAAGACATCGTTTGAAAAATATCTAACCGAATATCTGACATTTAACTTTGCATATATAATTTTAATTATTCATTCAAATACGTTATTTGTTTGTTTTTGATTGATTCATCAAAATAAAACAAGTAACTTCTGGCTTCAATCATCTTCTGAAAGTATTGATTATCTATAGATAAAATTTTCTAAAAATCAAAGTCTAACAAACAAACGATACTGTGCTTCACTTAGATTAACATCGAAGAGCGAAAACTATTTTGCTATTTAGACAAAAAAGCTTTTAGATCGCACTCTACATTGAAGTTACTACTTTCTAGAAGTTATTAAATATATCTATAATAATTAATGAATATTTCGAGTTAGGAAAAAGCTGCAAAATATCCGAAGAATAGACAAAAGTAACTCGATCATTACGTTTTAACATAGGTATCTGGTGGATTGTCTGTGGTACTTGTTCCACGAATATTTGTATCATCAATAACTCTTTGTAAATCTCTTGCACAAATAATATCAATTTCTAAAAGACCCTTCGTAACAAGTAAACCTAGTTGAATTTGTCCCATATGTATAAAATCATTAATCATATTTTCATAATTTCTTGGTGTTACTTGTCCTGGACCAGCAATATGTGTTTGAAAATTACTATTTTCATTCAATTGTTCTTGTTGTTGTTCAGTTAATGTAAAATATCTATCGATATCTTCATCACTTTCACAATAAGATGTAGCTGACGATTTTCGTGAACCAGATATAGATGAATGACGTGATGATGGTATATAAGGTAACATTAATTGTCCTATAGGCATTTGTTGCAAAGGTATGGAACGTGTTGATGATGATTGATGTTCATCCTGCTGTGTAGTTGATATAATGCTATGTCGTGGAGATTTATTTATAATATTAGTTATTAGATTATCATTGGTGATAACAGGTGATAAAGAATTTTCATCTTCTTGATCCATACTTATTGATGTTTGTGTAATTAACCCTTTTGTTGGACTTTGTGGCATTGATTTTGGTGTCGATTCACTACTACGTCTTGTATGAACATCGAATAATTTTGATAATCCTTTAGAAATTTGACGTTTAATTTTTTCCGATTGTATAGCAATTAGTGATTGACGTCGTTCATGTTGCTGTTGATTTTTTTCATGTTCGTCATCATCTTCATCATCCTCGTCCTCATCATTATCATTACTATTCTTTGGCATCATAATTGATGGTGCTAGTAAACCAGCAATACTTGCACGTTGTAAATTTTTTCTATTCGGTGAATGATTAAGAAGTTGCGCAACAGAATGTTTTCGTTTTGTTGGCAATGACTCACATGCTATTTCACGTTTTGCTGTTGTTGCTGAACGATTTAATGCACGTATTAATAAATCAGCTGACGATTTCGTACGTTCATGACGTTTAGATGATTTTAATAGTGGTGGCATTTTACGAACACTTTCACTACTTTCAGCCGATGAAGATTTAAATGTTACACTTGTCGTTGACGGTTTGCGCGTTTGACGATCACGTAATTCATACCAACGTGGTTCATCTTCAAGATTAGCTTCACTTAATGGTAATTGTATCATACCAATAAAGTCATCTGAATCATCAATACTACTATTATTAGTATTATTATTATTTTTTGGCATATTATTCTTTTTATCCCAAAGAAATATTTCAAGATGAAGTGCATCAACAGCGTCAACTTCATGAAAAACAAATGTTTCATTAAAACTTGGATTTGATGAATGAATAATTTTGGTTTCAAACATATCAAAGCCACGATCTTCAAATAACATTTTACCAGATATATGTGCATAGGGTAAATCACCATTCTGTCTTAATGGAAGATTACCAGCTTGAATTACTGTTAATGCCAATTTCATATCATCAATATCATGCCAAATTTGAGCTAGAAACGAAAAGTTCAATAAAGATTAAGGTGAACTTTTATTCTTTTTATATGTAAATAAATTTTACGAAAATTTTGCCCAAAGATCTAACGATCTTGTATTTAACAGGAAAACGTTCGGATATGACTTAGGAAATCCGTCGTTCCCTTGGCAGATGAAATTTAGACTTATTGACTTGACTTTTCTGTTCAACAATATTTACGCATTACCTGCTATTGCGCTTCCAATATCGGCATGTTTTTTTTTAAATAGCTATGAAAGAAAATATTTTTTCTTTACTCTACATAAAACAAAAATAAATAACAATAACGTAATAGCGTTGATTCTTTATTTATTTATCATCCCTTGTCAACATAATATATATGCATGAATACCTACCATTAGTAAAGTGAACTCATACGGAATATTATCTTTCCATAGTGTTGACTTTGATGAAACTTATGAACAAAATATCTATTACTTTCATAATAAATAGAAAAACCTATTGAAATTTGCAGTGATACTAAGTATAACTAGAGTTTTAATAGATGAACATCTCTACAAAGAAAACTTACATATAAAAAATTGTAAAAGAAGGAATTATAAGTGGCTTAGAATTGTAACCTATTTGACCAGAAAAGGATGCTAATCTTTCTTGTTGTAAGATTAAAAATAAAATAAAAATAAAAGAGGAAATTCTATACAGAATCAGAAGATTCATCCGTGCATGAAAACCAAAAACTGATATTACATGAACTAATTTAATTGAAAAATCTAATCTCTTACCTAGCAGACGTCCGCGATTAATCAATATTGGTTTTAGTTCTTTAACATTGGGCACTTCAAGCGTTTCAACGGTTTCATATAGTTGTCGTTTGGGTTGTTTTGGAAAAGACGATGACAATGGAGAAGGTAACGGAGGTAAATTTCGTCGCTTTCGTGTTATTGATGATGATAAACGTGGAACAGTTTCAAAATGTCTTGAAATTTCCATGGATGATAATGCTTGTCCACCATTGATTTGTAAACGAATATTATTATGTTGAACAACTAATTGTACAATATCACCGCATTGATCTTGTAACATGCGAACTTCTTCGTAAGTTGAATCAATTAGAGAATTACCATTGAATTCTAGAATTTGATCACCAACTTCAATATTACCTTGAACATCAGCTGGACCACCATATAAAATATTTGTTACAAAACATCCTAAAAAAATGAATAGAGAAAAATTTATTTTACTTTCAATTAAATAAGAAATAAATCATCTACCAAGACTTCCGTCTTCACATTCTTGTCCACCAACGATACGCATCCCAAGACCATTTGTTCGTATAGATGTATCATTCTTATCTCGATGAAGTAATATTCTATGAGGATTTGATGGTGGTGTACGTGCACGCAATTTTGAGCTTTCTTCAGCATGTAAAAAAATATTTTCACATGTTTCGATTGTTTTTCGTCGATCACCACTTGCTGTGCCTGACATCGAAGATGAAATTGGTAAACCCAATGTCGATGAACCACTTCCTGTCTGTGTTAAATTGTATTCAATTTCAGGATTGTAACCATAATAATAATCTTCTGATAGAGTATTTCGTCGTAGTTTAGGTGGATGACTTTAAAAAAAAGGAAATGAAAATTAGAAAATTTATTTAAAAACCGAGCGTCAAAGAGTCATAAATTTAGAGTAGAAAAAGAATAGAAGTATATTGTTGAGTTAATTAAAAAATAATTACCTTAATGAAATTTCAATACTATTATCTTGTCGTATAATAATTTTTCTTGGAACTTTTGGTACATGTTCACGTTCAAGACTAATAGAAAAACTATTTCCTTGCTGTTGCTGTTGTTGTTTATTTATTTTTGAATATAACATTCGTGTTCGAACAATATCTGACAAATCTTGTGTTTTACGTACAATACATGGATAATCAATTGAACGTTGATGTATTAACGTATTATTAACAGTAAGAGAGGATTTTTTTCGTGCTAAATTTGATATATCAATCGATTTAGCATTCTGTGTTTGATGTGCATGTAATAATTTTGCTTGTGATGAACGAAATTTAAGTGATGCTTCGGAATCAATACTTTTTGAACGATTTGAATAATTGCTGAGAGAATTTTCTCGTAATGGGTGATACGAATATTCAGTTGATGAATGTGAAGATGATGTTAAAATTAAATCATCAGCTATTGTATCATTAGTTGATGAGTTTATTTGACTATTGCTAGAGTTGGGTATATTTGGTAAACGACGAGATGATCTTCGTCGACCAGAAAAACTATATGGCGTACGATTTGGTGAATTCGTTGTAGAATTGGTTAACACTGGTATTTGACATAAGGAAGAATTTTCTTCGTGATTTGCTTCTATTGATGATTTATTCATAGAACTTGGTAAAGATTGCATATTATTAGAATATTGATGCTTCATCATTGTATGATTATTATTAGTTTTTGTTAAAACTTCTTTTTCAAATGTTTTCGTCCATTGATGACCACGATGCAATAATGCTCGCTTACGTGCCCATGAATCAGAATTTTTTAAATTTGAACGACTTGCTTGTCGACAATCATTATTATCATTCAAAGGCGTGCTCTTAGACATCGATTCATTTTCTGTTAGTAAAGGTTCTGCGCTACTACTATTTTGTGATAGCTCAGCTAATATTGAAACGGAAGAAAAATCCATGCCCTGGTGAAAAATAGAAAAGAAAACCATTAAGAATTTTACTGTTTTGCTGCTGTTTTTTTCTTCGAAAAACAAAATAACTTGTGATGAGTAATCTAATTCTTTTTTTTTGTCTACACCTACATCTCATGCGTACATGTTACGTAGAGAGCAATTTCTAAATCAAAATAAAATATTATTTGCGAATTCATTTGAGACAATTTCTCATTTGCATATCTTAACTGACATGAATGCTGTTTTATTTGATAGACAGATATAGATGCTTTTGATTGCTTAGCTTTTTTTTCTTCATTCTTTCAATGACTCGTGGCTGATTATGAAGCGGAAAAAAATTAATACTAATGCTAAATAAGTATGTAGAAGAAAAAATCATCATATTTGTATTTCACCATTATTTCTTTCGCTTTTATTTCCTGTTCTTCATTTGTGAGTATCCTGTGAAAAGAATTCTTTTTTTTCAAATTTTCTGCTTACCTGCCCGTGTGTATGTTTTCTGTCTACGATAGACTGACAAGACAAGGACATCAACAAATATTTCTATGATGAAATATGTGTTAATTTAATCATTATAGATCTATCGTCAAATAGGAATCATTTTTTCATCATAATTTTTAATTTTTTAATTTCTTTTTCCTTCTTTAAACAAAAGTATAATTGCTAAAGGTGACTGGAGCTTACCGTGCTAATATCTGTGCTGGTTTCTCGTGAAGGAAGACTATCATGGTGAGTTTGTTCACTAATTCGCATAGGTGATGATAACTGTGCAGCTAATGGCCTAATGGGTTTTGATATTGAATTTAATTTTCTATGCCGTTCATCATATGTCAATGATTTTTGTCGAAAATTTTGATCATCATCTTGATCATCAACTGAACGAGGATTACTACCATCAATATTTGTTTCTAAACTTTGAGATAACATTTCACTATGTGTATCAAATTGTGGTTCCGATGTTGTATCTTCCATGGAAGGATCTGTTATTGTACTTGATGTTGTTGGCTGTGTTTGCAATGGCGGGATAGCATAAGGTGATTGTATTATCATTGATGATGATGATGCACAATTTTGATTTGAAGAAGAACTTTTCAATGATACATCACGTATAAATGACATACGACGATTAAACATATTTGATGATGATGGTAAATTAGATGATCTATCTACTGGCATAGAAGTAGGTTCAGGTATTTGATCAAATGATGATGATCTATTTGCATGTATAGCAAGTAGCATGGGAGATGGTGACGATGGTCGAGGAGATGGACGCCATAGACGTGCAAAAAAATTTGTCGATTCTGTAAGAATTGATGAATGACGTTCATTCTGCAGTGATGGTGATGAAGATATTGATGTTGAAGTAATTGATGCACGATAAGCAGCTAGTTTTTGTAATAAACGTACAGGTGAATGATTTGGTACATCATCTTCAGTCGTATTCCATGTACCTCGAAAAAGATTCATTTTCACCTTACCATTTTATGAATAAACTCAATAAAAGCACTTATTCAAACAATAAAAATAAAAATAACTGAAACATGATATATAGGTGTCAAAGATGAGACTTCTTTTTCTTCTTTCTTGGTGAAAAAGGAAAGAAGAAAGATAAAGGGAAAATATAATTATTTGCGAAAAAAATAATTTAATTTTGGCTAGTTTTTTCTTGACATCTCATTCACAAAAATAAATCTAAACTCATTTACACGTGTAAAGATGTCGTCATCGATTTTTCAAACAATTAGGTTTTTTTATTTTCTTCGATTATTTACTATTTCCTAGCGCCTACCTGACTTCCGAACAACTTCACGATGTACAATGCACATACGACAGCGCCACTTTGATGCATGATTTTGATTTTCTAAATGTATTGCATAGTGTGGAGAAGTAAATTCAGGCGATGTATAATTTCCACATCGTCGACAAACAGGTCGATGACAATCAGCACAAAGAACAGGTGGTGAATAATTAAAGTTATTTGTTTCAAATTCAATTATACCCAAACAAATATAACATTGAACAATATCCGACGAAGTTAATAGAGGTGAAGATTGTAATACTGGAGAAAAATTACGATTAGCAGTTAATGAAAAAGTTCGAGATCTTTGTTGATCATTTTGAATGGTTTGCTGAAGATGAACCATAGTACGACGTAAACCAGATAAACGTTGCTTTTGTTCATTTTCAATCAAAGCATGCTTTTGAAGGACAAGTTCTAATTGTTCAAGTTCTTCGTGTGAAAGTGAAGAAAAATCAGGGGATGATGTTCGAAGCGGTGCTCCTGTTGATCCTGCTGCCTGAGGGTGCATAGTGATGCGATTCGACAGCAACGTCACAGGCACTTGATAATTTCAACATTAATATGTTGTAGCTCTTGCACACATTCACATTTGCACGAGCGAGCTTGATTCGTCTTCCTCTTATTTTTCTCTCTTTCTCCGGTTGTCTCTCAATGCCCGTTCTTAGAACGTAATTTGAAAAAAAAAGTTCTATGATGAGTGGCGCACGGCATCGTTCTCGAGAGAACTGAAAAGATCCTTTTTTCTTGTTCCCGTGTGCTGGTGGTAATGGTGATGTTAGTAATGCTGGTGGTTGCGCATGTGTCTATGCTAGCTATAGAAGCGTTCACACAACTCTGACATACACAGTTTGGGCGTTAGCTATCTCTATCCTCTTTCCTTTTGCCTTCAAGCACGTGAAAGAATGACAAGAGAAATTGTAATGACAGCTATTGCAGATCGACGGGAGTCTTTCCGCTTCGTTCAAGTTTATCATTACGTATGCTGTAGTCATATGCTCTTACGACTGGCAAGATTAGAAAAACTGTGCCGATTAACAAAACAATCTTATCGAATCATAATTCTATGAAACGAGAGCTAGTTCATTCAATTGAAATAAAATATGCACGTACTTAACAATTAATCAATACTCTAATCTAATTAGGAAAATATATTTTCGTTTCAATTTACCAATAAAAATAAAACCTGATAAATATACAAACATAAACGTCATGCTTGAATGCATAATAGTAGAGGACAAACCAACGAGAAAGGAGTAATTTAAAAAGCAAAAGAGTCAACAATTCATTTCAATAAATTATTTAAGAATATAAACCAAGAATGGTATATAGTGGTTTAAAGCTCATTTTCAATAAACGATTCTTGTTTAGTATTATTCTTCATGTATTACAAGGACTTATCTTTGAAAAAAGTAAACTCTATTATCCATATACATTCGATAGAAATATTTTACTAATGAAAACTGATTTATATAAATTTTATCTTTCAATATGTTTTATATTTTTAAGTTTACCATATCTTTTAAGTAAACTTTCTCCAAAGAAATATTTTACAGCATGTACAACCATAGAAAATCGTTATCAAAGTTGGAATTCAACCGATATACAAATAGGTGGTCATTTATTAGCTGTATCAATGATATTAACTGGTTTTTGTCCTTCATATTTACCAGTATATTTAGCTATAAATCCGCTTTTATTTCTTTATTGTATTGCAGCTAGCTTTACAGCTTATATGTTTTATCATATTTTTGGTAGATCATTATTTAATCGAATTAACCTTTCACCGATTAATAATAACACGAATAATTCTTGTAAGTTGCATATTCTAGTTTTTTTTTCTATTTAATTAAAGAAAAATACTCTTTAATTTTCTTTTTGTGTTTATCTTTATTTTTAATTGTAGCTTCAATATCAAATGAACAAGATACTTTAAATAACATTGGAAGATTCATAATAATTTCCGTTTGTATATTATTAGTGCTTATATTAGAAACAAGTCAGCCATCAATATCAAAAGGACATTCATTAGATGAATTGTTTGATTTAATATACTATGGAGATTATTTACCACCAAGTTTAAGCGGGATATTATGTGGCCTTATAAATTTCTTTTTAATTTTTTTCTGTTATGAATATCAAACATTAACTAGTGAATGGTTAATAAATCTTTTTTATTATGGATATAATTTTACAATAGGTAAAAGAAATTTGACAGGTCAATTATGTGTTGAACAAATATTAAAAGTACTTGCAATGGCATTTGGCGTTCGTTTATCATTAATGACTAGTAAACGACAAGAGATACCAAATATAGATTGGCTTTTTTATTCATTGGCTAGTTTTGGATCATTTTTTGGTGCTTTATCTATTTGTTTTACAACAGCAACATTCAGTGATCATATTTATTTAATAAATGCATTTATGGGACGTATATCTAGTGAGGTGATATCATTAACAATAGGTGCTGCTTGGATTTTATTATATCTGATTAAATTATTAGGATTATCAAATCTTAAGTAATAAAAAGAAAAACTATTGAGATTAACTTTTTTTTTGTCTGCAAAAATCATGTTGTCAGATTTATATTATGCTCATCGTTTACATTTTGTGAAGAAAACGAAGAATGCGTTTTGATGTCTTTCATTAACATGGTGATGGAAATTTTACATTATAAGAATCATTTATTATAAAGAAACTGCATCGCAAAAGAAAATTAGATAAATAAATCTATGTTAGTTGCCAGAGAAGTAAACAACTAGAGTCATTTCATGTAATCTCGGCTATAGTTGTTTATATAGTTGTATTAGAACACTCTTCGAATATTATTATTCAACTATGAGAAATTGATTCAATTATTTTATATTTAATTTCGATTCGTTTTAGATCGTGTGCTTGATTTTCTAGATTGACTGACAGGAAATGTTTGAAAAAAACAGCCAACTAGATGAGCTCTTGGGATGCATCCTTCACAATACGGAGATTATCATTAGATAATACTGTTATAGATACAAACGACATGGTATTTTTCCGTCACTGTCTCTTTCTTCTTAAAAGGTTTGACGATTGGGGAGGAGACAATGAAGACTTTTCCTTTCCATAACTGTCGAACTTCCTGCAAAATCTTTTCCAAACTCGTAAGAATTCGTGACAGAACAGAAACTTCAGCGATTTGTTGTTCTGTTTCCGTCAGACATTTATCTGAAGTCTTTTTTTCCTTAGATAAAATATCATAAGCAAAACTGATCAATTCAATGTTTTATGTTTAAAAAATGAACGAAACAGTCTACTTCTCACAAATAATTATCAAAAAGTTTCTAAATAGAAATATAGTACGTTTATAATGACTGTGCAGAACAACGTACACATATGTATATATTTGTAGTTTGTCTATAGTTGTCACTCTTGTACAAACTCAGTTATTCGCGAATAATATTGTCAATAAGATGATTGGTTCTATTTATTTGATTGACTGGCTGTGTTATTTTTTGCTTCTTTGTTCAGTAATTTAACATTGGTTCAAAATCGATTGTTAGAATAACCTTGTTACGTTACAGATTGTTTTTTTTTAATCATCTAAGTCTTATCGAATTAAAATAATTATGTCAGTAGCAACTAATGTAACCAATAATTCCACACAACTTGTTCGTACTAATTGGCCAGGAATGAATTCAACAGAGTCATCTCCAACATCTCAAAACTCATCAGTATCAATTACTACACCTTTAATACCAATAACATCATCCTCACCATCAACAACAACAATAATAGATCAAAATAATAATACAAATGCAATGGTAACATCACCAAGATCTAATAATAATAATAATAATAACAATAGCCGTATATGTATCCATCCAACACAAACGATGGCGTTAGAACGAACCATTCAAACATATCCATTAACAAATTATACATTTGGTACAAAAGATGCTTTATACGAACGTGATAGTTCTGTTCAAGCAAGGTTTCAACGTATGCGAGAAGAATTTACAACGATGGGTATGAGACGTAGTGTTGAAGCTGTTTTATTAGTTCATGAACATAATTTACCGCATGTACTACTTCTTCAATTAGGTACAACATTTTTTAAATTACCTGGTAAAAATATATAAAAGATTGCAGAAAAATTCATTTACTCTTTATTAATTATTTTAGGTGGAGAACTGAATCCCGGTGAAGATTCAATTGAAGGTCTTAAACGCTTATTGAATGAAACATTAGGAAGACCAGATGCTACGCAGCAAAATAATTGGCTTGTTGAAGATGTCATAGGGAATTGGTGGCGTCCTAATTTCGAAGCACCACGCTATCCATATGTACCAGCTCATATAACTAAGCCAAAAGAACATATTCGGTAAGATACAATAGTTTATTGACTATCAAAATCAATTTTTTACTTCTAATTAGATTATATCTTGTTCAACTTGGCGAATCATCGATGTTTGCAGTTCCACGTAACTATAAATTAGTTGCTGCACCACTATTTGAATTATATGATAATGCGTCTGGTTATGGTCCCATTATATCAAGTTTACCACAGGCACTTAGTCGATTCAACTTTATTTATAATTAAATTTCATGTTGAAAAAAAAAGAACGAAAGAAATGTTGTTTTTCTTGTTTCTCTGAATTTGTTTTTGTTCGTTTATGATTTTGTTGTCCTAGTCGAGAATAAAAAAAAATTGGAAAGCACCGTATTGTTCTATGTATGTGTGCATTAATGAAATGTATCTGTCAGATAAATCATTTTCTTCATGTCATTTTTTTTTTGGTGTCTATTTTGTCGCTCGAAAAAAAACGCAAACAGATGTAGCTGTGATATATTTTCTGTAAACGTATACACAAACATTCGTCGAAATACTGTACAATAATAATAATAATAATAATAATAGTGAATATCAAAACTGGAAAATCTATTATTATTCAATTATATGTTATTCTTACCACAAACATTGAAATAGATTCATTTTTCTACGATTTTGATCATGCAGATATAGCCACATAATTTTGAAAAGTCATCCAAAGTTTTCGTGACTTCTCAATAGAAAAAGAAATGCTTCAAATGTATATAAACTGATTAAAAATTCAAATAGAAATAATCTTAAATTTAACAAAAGAAATTATGAAGATTAAAAAACTACCTATTTACATTGTTATGGTGCATGGATTTATAATTGAGTTCTTTCCTCAAGTGCCTGACATTATTTGTATATTTGAATAGCGAAGGACAAAAGTATCTACTATTGTTTTCTTGTACTCTTCTACGAAGAACATCAAGTCTGAGCCTTCCAATTTAATTAGTTCTATGACAATTTACAGACTTCGATGAGCTGAGTACCATGATATAGTATGTTATTCGCGGTTGACTCCCTATAACAAGGTTAGGTCGATCTAAATTTAAGAAAAACGACCTACAATATTGTTGACAATTTTTTTAAATTTCTATACTAGTTTTTTTATCAGCATGAAAAACTTCTAGACTGGTTTGCTGCAATGCATCATTCGCATCTGCAAAGCTAATATACAGAAATGTCCCTAACTGAATCTGAATTGGTAACGTATCAACAGTATTAGTTTTGTCAATGTATTAATTGCATCAAGTTAGATTATTTGTTTCTGAAATAGTATTTCTCAAGTATCTTGATCTGCCTAGAAAGAAGAGATCAATTTAGGATGTCTACCATTTAAGTGGAATTTATATTCAAAAAGTGCAGACAATGAGAAATATTTATTTCTAGTTGACACTGAATGTTGTGTATAGTCGACTGACGTGCATACGCTGTTGAATTGAGATTAACCAAAGCTGTTTAAAAAAACATCCATGGAGAATAACACTTCATCGTTTCATGATCAGCTCTTCGAGTTCTTCTAATGTGATATAAAGTTGATTGAAACCAGAGACACGCAATCGAATAGTTTCCACAGAAAAAACTTACTTTTAACTTGCATGATATCCCAAACGTTAAATCTAGCAAAACTGATGATGATTGAGAAAACTCTGATTTCCGTTCGTTGTAGATTCTCTGTAAACGATTTAGATACGTGTTTGTATTCAAGTTAGAAAGGCAATTTTTTCTAAGATACATATAAGATAAATGTTGAAATAAAATAATAAAATGATCAGAATTGTAAACAAGTTATTTTTTGAAATAAATTTTGCATCTCAAATAGCTGAACAGGGCAATTGATTTGAAATTGAATTAAATTCAGAAATAGAAAATTTACTTTTAACCCTGTTATACTGGATAAATATATTTGGCGCATTCGTTTTTCAACAAACGTAAAGATGTATACATCTTAGGTTATAGTAGTGATTGAAAAAAAAATATAAATAATTTAGATGATTATGATCAATTATCTATTTTACCATGTATACAAGCGAAAAAATAGTGATTCAATGAACGCGATACTAGATTGCTGTTGAAAAGTAATATGGTATAGGTGCAAATGAGGATGAATTAAAAACGTATATCGAGCCTAGATACGTATTAAAAGTAATACATTATTATAATAAAGATAAAAAGATCTATTTGATCACATTTATCTACCTACATTCATATCGTTTTGAATTCCATTACTACACAAATATATGTTTAGAAACGTTTACGTCTCCTAAAAACGTAACTTTGAAAAAATCTTGTCGATAGTGTTCTATGATACCAAGAGACGAAATTAAATATATCCGATTTTTTCATTTGAAATATCTACTTGAGATAGAGCATAAAATGCTCTGGTTGTTGACTTTATACAAATTCCAAAATTAAAGAAAATTTTGAAAAAAAAATCGTTACAATCACTCGCCTCAAGTATCTTCAGTACTATAACGAAGAGAACATAAGTTTTCAGTTGCAGCAGATCTTTCCATTTACTGAACTGAATTCTTTGTTTTCGTTCACAAAATTTAAGTATGAAAACATCTCGTCGTATGAATTTTTTGGATTTTGATGGTGTGGACAAGGTTCAAAGCACTATTCAAAACTTTTGTAGTCTTGTTTTTGAAATCTAATGACTATCAAAAGGAGTCAAATTGGAATATAGCTACTGAAATTATATTGCACGACCTTTCTTTCGATGACTCGTGGTGTCTAGTGTATAGTGTTGAAAATTTGCTTGATATATAACGATGGCAGATTACATATGAATATAGTCTCGAAATAAGTTATGAATGAATTCTTTGTTACATGTGTGAAAAACTATGTAAGATTTTACTTTTAGGCAACAAATAGATCTTTCACATGTGTATTTTGCATGCCTGAAAAGAGTATACCGTTGTTTTCAGTGGGAAGATTTTATTTTTAGTTTATTATACAATGAATGTTCATTGAATGTCAGATGCTTTAAGTACTGGGAAAAACACCTCTCAGCACTAGGTAAGTCTGAAGATAGGCAATTATTACTGGAACAAATTGAACTATGCGCTCACCGGCAAAGCTGGTTGAGCGGTCATAGTAAAATAATGTCATTCCGAAAAAATAAGAGACTCATTGATCGTAACAGTGTATGGGCCATATATCTGGACTGGTGCTCTAGACACAATATGATCTCATCTATTCCGGCTATTGGCCACAATGACATACATAATTTTATTCATTTTCCAGAAACGTTCTAACCGTATGTAATGTATTCTGTCTTCTCTCTTTCCTTATTTACAGCTTGTCGTGCATAGTAGAGAAATATATGAAATAGTAGATGTGGATGTGTGATGACCTGAGGCTACCCTCTTTTCCCCTATTCTATCATGATATTATTGTATTTTGTGGTTAACCACATTGATCATGTATTTGCTTGGTACTTATTTTTCTTTTCTCTTTGAGGGCTTCATCTGTTTATTCTATCTTCTTCTTTTTTTTTCTTTTTTTGTTTTTAATTTTACTGCCTCATTGTATTACCCTCATCGCTGTTCCTTTCTAATTTGTAAACGAAAGAAAACTGTTATTAATGGTGTCCCTGTAGGACCTACGAAGGTCAAAGGATAATAAAAACGCAAACAAGTACAACTGTGTAAGATAATGATGAAGAAATACGTCCTACAAAAGATAGACTAAAGCTATATTTTATGATTATTAACAGTATTTACATCATGTTCAACATTTTATTCCTGCCAATATAATGTTAACAGCTTGCTGATAGTGTTAGTTTCACGATTGAACCATTAGGAGTCATTATTCTCATTATCTGACTGCAAATATATATATATACATAGAGAGAGAGGGGGGGGGAGAGACAGAGACAGAGACAGATAGATAGATGTTTATTATCAGATGGCTTATGATTGTACTATAAACAAATAACCTGTAATTGATGGCAGCTAATGAAATATCATAATGGTTCTATTTACACTGTTATATTTTAGTATATTTCTGTGTTTTCGCTTTTTATTTCCTTTTTGTGTTAAGTCATTTGTGAAAATTTTCTTATTTTCAGACGTCGAATAAAAAAATCTTCTACAATTGACATCTTGTCTGATTGATTTCATGATACTATGCTCATCTTTCCAATAATTGTATTGATATACTGTTTTATTCTTACTTAACCATAATCTTTTTTTAAACAAAAACAGCATAAATTAAAATTACATGAAAAAAAAATTAACTTTTCTATCTAAAGAACTTCGATCATGTAGAAAACAAGAATAACGCAAAATTTAATATAATAAATTCTAAATAAACAATCAGAGAATCCGATTGAGTTGGATCATTATGATGGTGCAATAAAGAATGCTCGATTTAAATGTAACAAGCCGTATTCAAAAACGTTTTGAGAATCATATAAATTTGCTTCTTTATGAAATATTGCATAATTATTCACACGGAATAACTCAAATAGTTGATGTGCACGTCGACTAGATACTTCAGATCTATCAGCAGGTAGATGAATTTCAAAAAGAATTTGACGAACATATGGCATCACTTGAGTTGTTTTATCTGTTGAAATTCGAAACATCTCTTCAAATAAATTATATTCACTACCTTCAATGTCAACTTTAAGTAGATGAATTTCTCGTCTTTGATGACCAAGATCATTTACAATTGTTTGAAACGATTTCGAACTATCATTTTTTCCATTACCAAGACGAACTTGATGAAATGTACAAACATTCGCTGGACACTGGTATACTCCTAAATCAAATGTATGAATTTCTGCCTTCGGAAATTGTTCTTGAATGGCTCGTTCAAAACTAAAATCACCATTAGAACCAAACGAATAAACAAGAATTTTTGTATTATTTCTTCCGAAACGATGTATATCACAAACCCACTTTCCGCCATCACCTGTGTTGCCAAGACGTCGTTCAAATTCACATTGTATTGTTGGTTCCCAATTATTTTGAAAAAATAATGGACGTGAATCTGATATACGATTGCGTTTATCTTGAATATGATGGAGTGTTTTTCGACGTTTCCAATCGGAATCCGACTGACAAAACCAATTATCAGATTCTTTCATCGATAAACGACACCGACCACCATTCACTGCGACTGATGAGGATGAGGATGTGAATGATGAAATTAAACTAGCCATTGATGATGATGATTTTTCATTGTTTATAGTAAAATAAAATATACTAAATGTGATGAGAAGAATAAGAATAATTATTGTTCTGCTGGTAAATGATAGATCCACTTTTCTTAATGATGTATAAGGCATTGATATAGTATCATTTCGTATATGATTGATTAGAAACTACAGAGAAAAATGAAATGACTTAATGAAAAAAATATGTAAACAGTTTTGAGAAATAATACAAAATTAATCTAATAAAACACTATTATTTCTTCTTTTTTTTCGTGATTCATCATTTATTTAATTCTTAGTAGTATAATTCAGTATAGAATATAGTATAAATTTGTTCTGTCAACGACTATATCATAAAAAATTAATTTTTTTCCCGACTCTCCAAAGACTGCATGCTTTGTGTTATATTAAAAACACGTCTATCACATAATAAAATGATCCTTTTTCCTTTGCTTCCAAAGGCCAACAAGCATTTGCATCATATCAAATGATAATGTTTAATCACTAAGGATTACTGGTTTCATCAATAAATGATTTTTTAATTTAAATATTCTGCTTCTACCATAAACGTTTGAAAAAAGAAGTAATGCTTCAATAAATACTTAGCTCTAGTATTCTTTCTAGCTTTGCTTTTCCAATAAACTTGATAGAATTTTATTCATTTCTTAGTTCTTCTCATAGTTAGAGCGAATTTAAAAATTATCTTCAATGATCTAAGTACAATAAATATAATTCAAAGTATTCTAATTGGCTTTATTTTTCAGTCGAGTTTTCAACTAGATTCTGATGTCGCTTGGATCAATATAGAATACCAATATATTTGAATAAACAGATGATTTATTCTAGTCGAAGGAAGAACAGAATGTCAAAAAATGTAAATATTCTCATTTACATAGAAGCCCGGTAAAACTCGATACAAGCATAGAGATTTTTTTTTATCTCAAAACCAAAGTAAAATTAATATTTACAATTGATCGTAAATGTTCTTCGGTTCACTAACTTTGATATTTTCTCTTTTTCTATAATTAAATGTTACGTTATTTTCTGAATGTTTTACTTGGAGCATTTCTTTTGCCCTTTGGACTACATCTTTCTCTCTATCGCATGTAAATATAACGAGGAACAAGTACGACTATACTGATGAGACAAGAGAATTATATAACCTGTTTGGTTAATTATTAATAAAAATCGAAACAGTATGGATTTATGATGATTTATATTTATCATATGTTCTCGCTACCTGGTAATCATAGGTGATCTCGAATATGCTATTATTATTATTATTATTATTATTGAACTAGTTAGATGTTCTACGATATCTTCTCTTGACTTCTTCTGTTTCAAATATTCATAATAAAAACAGTTTTCTAGACAATTGTACTGGTTTGGCGAATTTTTAGAATATTATAAACACAAAAAAATATGCTTATCTTCTATCTACACGAACTTCAGTTATATTTTATTTTAACAATTGCTCTCTCAAAAGAATTTCCAACGAACGAGGAGACATCTCTTACTATTGAAAACTTTCTATTATAGGAAATATCTATTTGAAAAATGATTTAAAATAAGATAGTAAACAAAATGAACTAAAAATAGAATCATGTGTTATAACGGTATATATCTAATGAAATTTTAAATTGCTCAGTTTTTTTGGTTTAAGTCGATATTAATTTTGGTAAAACCAAATCTGCACTTACCTTTGCACTTTGATACATTATGGAGAAAGTCAGAAAGAGAAAAAAAATCTGTAGTTATATCATTGAAAGATTTAAATTATTTATTAAGCATTAACTACTGACAAGCATATATATATATATATATATATGACTTTATCCAATGTGACAACTACAATAGGAATATTGACTTTTAAATAAAAGACTCGTTTGTAAGTACTGTTTGCTTTTGAAAATATTTACTGCTAAAGAAATTGAAGTTGACTGTCCTAGTGCCATAGAAGCATGCATTTTCGTTGAAGTCAGTTTTGCTTCAATTTTTTCTGGTTTCATAATTATATAAATAAATGTGCATGTGTTTGGCATACATGGCAGGATGAAAGAGTAAACAAACTGCGTTTGTTAGCAGTATGTAAATAATTGAGACAATAACCTAATACTATATACGGTCAAGGATGAAAAATTAAAACATGTCATGAATAATGTATAAACAATGGTTTGCAAACAGCCTTGGAGCAGTCTTACATTACGAGTATTTAATATTTTCTAGATCTTCTTGGGGCTTTCTTTTGCAGTTATTTTAGATTTCCACTAGGCAGATGATCTACTAAAAATTTTCATATGTTTGATAGAGTTCTATTGTATCATGATATAATATTAATTTGATATAGCAAAGGTGCACTCTCACAAATAATATAATATTTCTGTATTACGCTATTAGAACATCTGAATTCGCTCTGTCTGTCAGAAAAATCCACCGATATATAAAGATACTACTGTTTATAATTAGTTGCTCATTTAAATAAGATCAGAGCTCATAGCTTTCTAAAATATCGAGCATTCAATGGTTCGAAATCTGCTATTCATAACCAATAGAATCGAAATAAGGTCAATCTATTAGACGAAATAATCGAGTGATGTGGAAAAAATATGTTGAAAACCAACTTGAATAAGAAGAATATATTGTTTATATCAGAAAAATCGCGTGACATTTAATTGTTCTTAAAAATTTGAACTGAAAAATTTATGAGTCAATTCGACTGATAGCTTAGGAAGTGGATGTCTTTTGATTATAGAATCAAAACAAGAATGAATCATGTATTGAATTAGATATTATACAACTGTGAACTACTATCTTTTAAATCGAGAAATATATTTTTGAAAAAATGTGAACTAGCCTCTAACACTAACTAAAGATTTGTTTCGGGTTTTTTTTTGCAAACTATTGTATATAACATAACTAGGAAGCAACAAAATGACGCCAATTCGAAGAAAACGAAAAAATCTTTGTCTTATTTATATGGAATAAATCGATGCCTGTTTAAACGAAAACAAAAACATTGTAGTGCTTATCTTTACTTAATTAAATAATCAATTTTTCTTAGCTACTTACAAAGTATTCATCAAAAAAAGGCTACTTATATATTCAATCAAAAAAGAAGGAAGACGAAGTTCGTATTGACTGATATAATCATACATTTATAATATATTTATTTTCTCTTTTTGATTAGCATTTTTTAGCACTAAGCATACAAAGAGAATGATCAATAGTATGAATATAACTTTCATTTATTGTTCCTCCTTTGCCTTTTTCGTTCCTTTCTTTTCTATGATGCTGATTCATTTAGACTACAGTAACACTGATCAAAGGTAAACGAAAGCGTTTATTTATCTTCGATAGCTCATATGCTTCATCTATTTATGTCTATTCATGGAAGTACACTTTATTACAATAGTTTATTATAAATATAGTAATAAACATTCAATGAGACTAATAGGAATAAAATGGTTTTTTAAAACATGTTTGTACGATAAAAATACATTCAATACAGATGTTACCGATTTCTTCACAGAAGTAAAAAATAACTATTTCGCTCTTTTATCGTATCCTGACATCATCTTTAACATTAGTCGTAACAAAACCATGTATTCTAAAAATAATCTACAAGCAAAAACAAACTAATATTTACTCCTATCATTCGTATGAATGCCAGTGGTAGGCGTCAAAAATGACTCTACACAAAAGCAACATGATAGACTCTTACTAAGTATAGCACTTGATCATATTTTTTTCCTTATTTTAGAAAAAAATGTGACAAGCAATTTATTACATCTGCTACCAATAATATATTTTATTGTAGACAATTGTTACTCTTTCATACTCAAGTGGTTCGTTTTGTTAACAGAACCTGTCAAAAACTAGTTATGATGAAACTTTTTTTAGATATTCTGAAATTTTTAGTTGGGCGATCATGAATAGAAAAAATACGGAAGTATTCGAATGCATTAAAAGATAAAAAGTGAGCAGACCACTAGACTTGAAGCTTTTTCTTTTTTGAAGATTTAAAAATCCGCAATTACTAATGTGCTACGAAGCATAGCATTTATATAGCCAGGGGCGAAGTTTGTTTTTATCTTCTTAACTAGACGTGTGCATAATATTTCATTTCGATATTTGGCGACGCGACGATGTCGAAAAATAAAAATCAGAAAATATTCAGTCATGCGCAAAATTAAAGTATCCACATCAAACTACTTATATCATCTTGAAAATGTTCTTTCGGGCGATTTGTTCTATTACAAATGTCTATCAACTTTGCTGTTTTCGAATTTAGAGATAGTTAAACATGACGTTATCAACAACCGTCAGTCAATAGTATATTCGTTTAGAAGTGATATGAAATAATGAACTATGAAAATAAGTAATCGTTAAATCAACTGCGATCTCAGAAAACATCTTCATGCGATTTGAAATAACTCTAATAGTGATGAATTTCGCAATGGTCAATTCAAGGGAAGATGACGAATCACAATGATAATTAAATGTACAAAATCAAAACCTTTTTCGATGAATACGGTGATAAGCATGGATTGAGTTTTCGGAATGATGAATTCTGCGACAGCTACTGCAGAACTATAAAAAAAATCCTATCAGCTGTTCAGTTGAAACTATTTTTCTTTTCAGAATTCGTCGACATGAAGGAAAGAATAAAAAGGAAAATATCAGGAATTTTTAATGGCAGAAAGGATTCTAGTCAATTTTGAAGTCGATCATTCGTTTTTGATCGTGCTTTCGGTTATTTCGAATATTCATTCAAGTCGAGGTTTACACCCCCTAATTCACTCTCCCCCGACGACTCCCTGAGGTGTCCCTGTCGTGAGTCACCGGAAAATTTTTATTTGGAGGATTCCCCGGGAATTTCTCTTGGGAGAATTGATGAGATTTTTTAAATAAAAAAAAAAATTTTTTAATTTTTAAAAGTTAAGAAGAATTTATTAGTAATTAAATATTTCACTCATTTTTGCCAGATAACTCCCCGGGGAGTCCCCGCAGAAAAAAGGAAATCCCTAGGGACTCCCTGGAGATTCTTCTAGGGAGAGTTGACTAGGGACCGCATTCTGCATTCGGATGAAACTCGAATATCATCTAGTTTAATAGAACATCGACGAGAAAGA